TTCGAAGAGGCCATCGACCCGCTCGTGGAATACACGATGAATATTGCGTGCGATAGGCAGGGAATGAGGGAATGAACCTTGAGATTCCCTTAAAGGAAACCACAAGTTTGATGGTTTATAGGGGTCATTCCCTCATTCCCTGCTGAGCACCAGCAAGTAATTCAATGGTTTTTTGGGCCCGCGCCCGTTCCATGGCTCAGCCGCCTTGCGTACGTCTTGCGCCGCTGGTAAATGGTCCGCCTGCACGCCCTTCTGACCGCCTGACCGCATTCTCGGCAGCTTGCAAAAGCGGCGGTGGCGGCAACCGATCCGATGAGGTTTTGACGGACAATTCAATGTAGGGTTCTCTTCTCACTTGCCCAAAGACGATTTGTGGTTTGCCTGTTTGTTTTCTAGTTGGGCGATGTTTTAGGCATTGCCCTAACATTAAGCTTCAACTTGGCGGTTTTTGGGCAAGTGAGTCTTGGATGCAACTGTGGGGGGGGGGGGGTAATGTCACTGCGGACAGCAATGCAGTTTCGGAGCATAAGACTTGATGGGATCCCTTCGACCAAGACTCATTGACCATAGAGTCTATAGAGGTGGTTCTACCTGGTGAGATTGGGATTTTGATAATACCAATATAAACCTGGAACACTACATCATCATGATAGGACCAAAAGTCAACGCGGTGTTCAGCACTGCTGCAAAATGCTTGCACATGCAGCTCGTTGTGCTGGCTGTTGCTCATCCATTATGAGAGCTCCCTGGGCTGCGGCATGCTTGCAGGCCTTGCAAACGTCATGTTTGATTCGGAACACATGTGCCCACGTTGATATAGCCAGATTCGGCCAACTGGCATCATATTATGTATATTTGTGTGTATGTTATCTTCCAGGGTGGGTTGGTTTAGGGTTGGTTTACGGCGGGTTTACGGTGGGTTTAGGGTGGGTTGGTTCGGATTGATTTAGGGTTGGGGCTGGGGTTGCTGTAGGGGTTGTAGGGTGGGTTGGTTCAGGGTAGGATGTTGCGAGAGGTGATGGGGCGCAGGTTCACGGGGTGAAAGGGGTGCGAGTCTAGAACCGTAGAACCCACGCGCTACTGGACAGCATCCCCAGCATTGCCAGCATCATCCCCATCATGCAGATGATGCGGGGGAGGGGGAGGGCCCTACCCTTGGGGACTGGAAAATATATATGTAGTGCATGCGCTGTATTCTTGGTGCTGCGGAGGTCTCTTGCAATCTTTCAGTGGCTCGTGCCAGGAGCCGCGCACGCGGTGGCGCGACTTAAAAAGGAGCTGCCTTCCCACAGAGGAGCGCTGTGCGGGGTCGGCAGAAGCCTTGAGCATATTTGTTTAATTCTGACTCAGCAGAAGCCTGGGCAAAAAAGCACACCCACACACACACACACACGCACAAGGAACGCAACAACTGGAGGTTCAAGTTGAGTCTCAGAAGGAATGTTGAGCAACACGTTTTACCCTTTGTGCGTGCAGCAACCCCGAGCAATACAAAGAAGCTTCATATGCAGGTGGCAATTCAGCGTGTCGGGGGCAGTCTCAGGAATATTCAGTAAGATAACGATACATTACTTGGTGCGTGAACACAATCTCCAATCAAAATCCAGCCGTTGTGGGCCAAGAGTCTTCGGTGTCGTGGTAGGGAAGGCTAGAGTCGGACTGTCAGTTGCATTCAAGAAAAGCACCTGAGCGGCATGTCGTTCTTGCCCAGTATTGTATGGAAGAGGGGCATGCGCCCATCTTCGCATTCATTGCTGTAGTCTGAGAGGCTAAGTACCAACACTTTGCCAATATCATGACTTGGTTTGAAAATACATTCAAAAAACAGGTCCAAGACACTCTGCTGAGAGTACTGAGTCGGAAAAAGACACTCATTGAGACCTGAGTTCCACCCCATCACAACCCTGACTATTCTAATCCAGTGCTTAAGGCCTTTGGTTTGATATGTTTTGATCTCCGAAATCCTGGCTTCAACTCACTTATCCCCACCGTTTTCGCATGGAAGGGGTGTACGCGATGGAAGGGCCCCGTATTACATGCTACAGCCTTGGAGGACTGAAGGGGACTTGATCCCAGGTTTGTAAGTCGCGCGGGAAACTTATGCATCCTTGGCTGCAAGGAAAGTGATGTAAAGATTAAAAGGGACACAATACATACATATATATATATATATACACATACAAGGAAATATGTGTTCCGGTCGCAAGGATTTGAATTTCTGGGTGTAGTTTGCCATGAATAATTCTAGCTGAGCCTCCGTTCTGCTCAGGGATCCTGCTGCACCCCGTGAAATAGGTGGTCTCTGAAGAGAACAATGGGATAGAATGGTTTAACTCTTGCCTTTTCGAATAAACATTCTCTTTAGCCCCAAGAATGATCAACCAATGGGGATCCCTGCTTGGGTGTTGAAGCCACTTTGTCTAGAATTAGGGTTTTAGCCAGGAAGACAGGGGCTGCAACCATGGTTGTAGACTGCCATTCCCGTGGCTTGAACACGGGAGAGACGCGAGGAGTGCCTTGCGGGCAAAGTGCTGCATGCAGCCACCGGTGACGTGCTGGCCTGGGAGAATGTGGAGCACCTTCCCGCCGGAGGCATGAGACGGGGACTCCCAAAGGATTTGTTTGATCAAGGAAGTTATGCCCGAAAAGCCTTGGTGGAAAAGGGTTCCGCGGGCTTTGCTTATTTCAATTGGGTGTTTCTGAGAGTGGTTGTATTTCAAGATCGGTTTGTGCTTTTTCGACCCCTTTGAGCCAAAGGGCCACCTCCAACAATTGCCGATGGTTGCCAAGCTCCCTCGATGGCGGAATCGCAAGTGCCCAACAATCGACCTGATCGGGCCTTCTGCGATTGAAGTTCAGGCTTTTGATGGGGGAAGTCAAAGGGACACCGGCATGTTGGGGCTTGCTCAATCGGAGGGCTCACTTAATTTGCCACGAAGCAACAAGGGGTGAGCTGTAATTTCCCCTGGGGAAACAGTTCACAAGCCTTGGATCTGCCAGGGTTGCGCGCGCTGCTGCCGCAGAGCCTGCATGCAGGCTGTGCCGTGCGCGGGGAGAAGTGGATTGCACTGCAGCTGCTTTGGCGAAAAAGGAGGCTAGGAATGGTCTGGAGGGTGGGCGAAATTGGTTGAAACATGTGGACTGGGGCTGAGGTGACGCGCGTGATGCAGCCTAGCAGTCACACACACACACACGCATTCACTTATTTGTATATATATATATACATTACTTAATAGTCTGATTGTTAGTATTGGCGGACAATTACCTATTGTTATTGCCATTGCTATTTCTATTGATATCACTAGTACTGTTACTATTCCTATTGCTATTGCTATGACCATTATTAGTACTATTGCTATTACTACTACTACTACTACTACTACTACTACTACTACTACTACTACTACTACTACTACTACAGCTATTACTATTGTCTGTATTATTAGACATCATACTACATGTACGGACATATTTATGTATACATGCATACATGCATACAATGCACACATGCACACATACAAACATGCATGCATGCATGCATGCATGCATGCACACATGCATGCAACCAACATACACACATGCATACATACATACATGCGTACGTACGTACATACGTAGGTACGTACATGCCTACCTACCTACCTACCTACCTATCACCTGCCTACCTACATACACACATACATACACATACACACATACACACATACACACATACACACATACACACATACACATACATGCATGCATGCATGCATACATACACAACCATCACAACAGACACACACACACACACAACAATAAACATGAACTGCCATATGTATATGTATATATATATATATATGCATGTATGCACACACATATATATATATATATATATATATATTTGAGTATATGTACGGTGTACATATGTATATGCATCCATGCCTGCGCATGCACATAATATATAAATGTCTTGTGATACATACCTACATCTGATATGTTGTTTTGAGTGTTGTGCGTTGGTCTATACTAGCGCCTAGGTCCAATCATGGGATGTGTCAATCGATTTGGGCCCCATTTAGTCGTTTCAAAACTACAGGCACTGGAGACCAACCACTGGGAGGAGTCAAGTTGTTTGATACACAGGCTACTGCCTTCAAGCCCTGCAAGTGGTGGTTGCCGAAACTGGTGGCACCAGGGAATCTAATCCTCGGTCCGGTGAAGGGGACACCAAGGCAAGGCACTATAACCCGCCCTTCTCGCGGTTTCCGATAAAAGGCGACAAGGCCAAGTGAAATACGGGGAGGGTAGGTACACGGCCCTCACTTCTATTCCTTGTAGTTCCGAACTGGGTACTCTGCCGGAGTCTTCCCGGGGAGCCGAGCGTTTGAGGTGCAGGTCAGAGGTAGACGCTGGCAGGATCTGGGCATTTTAAACTTACCTGGTTTGGTCAGTGTCCAAAGCCTCAAAGTTGTATCTTTGGGTTTCCTCATGGTAAGACCCGAAAAGTAAGGCAGGCTCTGCCAGTCAGTTCAGTCAAGTAAAGATTCCACTGATTGCCTTCCATCTTGAGAGCAAACTCCCGGAATTCGACTGCGACGGCCTAGCTGGACGAAGCAGAACTGTGGTGACGGTGACGGTTGTGAAGAGAGCCTATGTGAATCGTTTTTCAAGCGTCATAAAGGGGTTTGACCAATCCATGGTGGTAGGGAACTTCATTTCATCTGAGGTGGATCTCCTCTGCGGCCATCAACCAGAGCGGAAAGCTTCCGCGGACATCGCTGTGAGTGGCTCCAGCCCACCATGGTGTCAATGACAGCGGTATTTCGCTCATATCCCGGACTGGAGCCGGATAAGCTCGATGATGGTCGATCCTTTCTGTTGGTTCAGGTTCGTGAATTGGCATTGAATGATAGTAATTTGCCCGCGCGGAGATCTGTTTGATTGAAGCCGTGCTGAGCCGTTGGCTTTTGAGGCATGGCCGCAAAGCTCAAAGGCCCTTGGGGCCCTGGGCGGGCCACATGAGTGTGTCACAATGATGGGTAGTTTGCTGATGGTTGGTTCCGTGTTGGTTTGGGGAGGGGACGACCCCCAAATTCCCCACAAAAACCAAGGGGGACGGGACTTGATTGTTCGACGTCTCCTTCGGCGGTCATGCGATGCATGCGAATTCAGTGGGGAGTATTGCTCGATGCCTGGGAAGAGCAGACGGGCAGAGCGGCGAAGGGAGCGGCACAGCGTTCGCCAAAAGCGGGTTTGCGGAAAGTGTGGAGACTCCCAGTCCTACATGTTGCTTTGCTCGGATGCAAGTTCTTTTTTTCCGACCCCTTGAAGCTTCCCAGGGGTATGTACACACACACACCCGGATTTTACAATGTAAGCAAGCTTGTAGGACTACCAATTGTGTGGCCACCACATTAAAGGAGTATTAACCAATGTTAAAGTAGACAGATGACGTCAGTGCCAGAATCTGATCTTTGGAGGCTCAAACCTCCTCGACCTTAGGGGGGGATTACAATTTTTATCTGATGCTTGCGTCATATTGAGTAACAATCATAATCAGTTTGCACATGACTCTTAATGGCGGCCCATCCCTTCGGATGGGAAATCTCCAAACGCGTGCAAACGGTACCTCTTGATTCGGAGTTCGAACTGATTGCTCATCTTGGACCCTGCCCCCACGCGAAGTGAATGATGGAGATTTGGATCAAGCGCCAACACGGTCTTCCAAAGTGGTGACTGAAAGTGTTTGGGGGCGGGATGCAATGTAGCTCACAGCGGACGGGACTTTGGGGACCAGCAAATGAGCGGAGGTTATCGTTTTTGCATCAAACACGCACAACCAAAGGAGATGTCTATGCAGCCAGATAGGAGCAGCGGCAGTTGGACCAGGAGTTTGACAAGATCAATCAGCAGGAGATCGAGCAGGCCGGAAGTGTTTTTGGGCGCCGCAAAACCCATGCCAATAGGCGCCATGTGAGTAGGGTGGTTCTACCTGCGTTTTATGTATATCTTTGGGTTGACAAAATATGAGGCAGAACATGTGAGTTTCTGTGTACCCCAGGTGTGTTATTGGGATTCAACCATTCCTGATCGTTTTTCTTAGAGATGGCTCAAAGTCGAAAGGTTCATCGTGGCTTCAGATGGGTCACATTTCAAGACGAAAGGCTATCAAGGGATCCAAATCCAGGGAACAAGCATGGCTATGTGGACGATGCAAAAGATATTCGATGGTCCCCCGAGGGGCATGATTGCTCTTAAATATAAGGGAGGATCTTGTGAATGAATTGTAAGACTACCATTCTCTTAAACCCCTTGTCCATGACTCCTCACCCATGAATGTTTCTTTTTGAAATCCTCATTACCAGTTTGTGTATCGCAATGTGCGAATCAATTAACATGGAACGAATGTATAGTACGGGAACGTACCGAACCAATGGAATCAATTCATCGGTCACTTGAATGAACATGTTTGACATTGATTTCAATTCAGGTTCCATTTGAGTGAATTCATTGCTTGGCTCCAATTCAGGCTCCATAGATTCACCCTGAACCAATTGGGTATGTATGTGTGAAATCAGGATTTGGAGGCCGCAAAAGTGTGTGTGTGTTTCTCAAAATAGGTGTTTGTTTCCCAAACAACACACGCAAACACAGAAACCTACGCCAAGCTCTAACCCCCCCCCTCGCACAAAAAAGAAAACACTTCAGAGTGTCTCTTAAAATGGTCGACGACAAGCTGTTGCTTTCCTTTGCTTTCCCTTTAAAAGCACACAAGAAACAGGCGCCCCCCACAAAAAAGGACACTCCAAGCCCTAACCTCCCCCCTTTCCCCCCCCCTCCCCCACAAAAAAGACGGGAACCCAACCCTTCTAAACTCCCACAGGGCCCTTTTGGTTACCCAAACGTTGGTACCCAAAAACCCTTTTGGTTACCCTCTGGTACCCAAACAAAGACAAAGAGATAAACTCCAAGCCCCAACCTCCCCCCCGCCCCCCACCAAAAAAAGACGGGGACCCCGTTTGGTCGCCCAAAAACCCACCCGCCGGGGCCGCAAAACGCCAGTGGGGTTCGCGTGCCAGGCCTGGCACCAAGCGACGGAGGCTGCCGGCCTGGCGGAGCAGGGGGTGCAGTGCCTCGGCTTGTCTTCTTCGAGGGGAGCCACCCCCCGCACCCCACGAAAACAAGCAATCCCCCACCCAACCAAAAAGAGAGAGGGTGATTTCTCCCGTGTTTGCCTCCCAGGCAAAACAAAGAAGAAGAGGTGATTTTCTCCCCCCCAAAAAAAACACAGATTTTCCAACCATTATTGGTTCACCTATTCAAATTCTTCACCACATCTTTTGATTTCTGAATTTGGCAACCATATAATGATCCAAGAGGTGATCACTTGCTTCCAGATCATTGGTTCAGACAATCCTCAGGTTTGGATGGCCCCTTCTTGATGCACCTCAATTGGAAGGTAGCCCAACCACCAAACCGCCAATCCAAACTACCAAGTCAGGAATGGCTGGTTGATAGCAAAACAGAGCGGGAAAGTTGCTTGGCTATGTACTGTACCTATGATAGGATTTAGAGGTAGGACGGCATCAGCAGGTGTTGTCTTAAACGCGTTCAGCTGGTGTCGAAATCACCCAGGTAGTGAACATACCAGAAGCAATGGACATGGGATTGTGGCTCCTGGGGCCATGGTATGGTTTGATATGTATATACTAAACTACATGGGGGTAACTCATACTCTTTTTTAACCGTGTGTGTGTGTATGTACTGCATTCCCGGTTGCAACCTCCAAACATGACAACAACAGAAATGTCTCTTCGGTTCTGATTGATTACAATTTGTGGCCATGACCGACACTCAGCCAAGCAAGTGGTCGATCGTGCGACCAAGCACTCTGGCTCCCTGAAAGAAACGCAGGAAACCGTTCCGCCGCAGCAGCAGCGACAGGGTTTTGTCATTTTTGCACCTCAGATTCCCTGCAAGGATGCTCACTTTGGCCACTTGGACCACCCCAATAGGTGGTTCAGCCCTGGCCAATGGAGTTCTTTGGTGCTTTGCCCACGGAGCTGAGTCGGATCTCTGCTCAGGACGGTGCCCCCGAATCTCATGAACTGGGACCTGAAGCGTCCCCCGCCACGCCGCCGATCTTGGAAGCAAGGACACATTGGTCTTCCGACGCTTCAGGGATCCGTTCAACGCTTTCTAATAAATTGGTTCCGATCGCTTGCAGTGAACAAGATGTGTAGTGTCCGAAAGGAACCCAGTTGTCAGGAGCCATTGAATGGGTCACTTAAATACTTTCGATCAAAAAAACTCCCAGAGGCTTGTGGGAGTGGGCAATACTTAATCAAGTAGGCATATCAGAAATTTACCCCCTCCCTGCTCTTACCGAGTTCCCGCTTCTTTGCTTTTGGCGGGGTGATGTTGAAGGGGAAAACATCGGGAGCCCAGGATGGGTGGGGGTTCTTTGGGTTGGGGCTGTTCATGTCATGTAACATGACACGCCCGAGAACACTGGTTTGACACAAGCTGAGCAGTGCAAACGGAACATCTAGTGCTTTAGCTGATGGTTCCAGCTCTCATTCATAGCCATCTTTCTTGGACGGGCTTCTTTTGGAAATCAAAGACCCCCAAACAAAGCGTGCCTCGTTTCCACTCCACTCTAGGGGTAACTTCCCCATTCTTTCCAGGGATCCTTCTTTCTAGAAAACCACCGGGAAAATGGCTTGTTTTTGAGAAGCTCGATGGCTTAAAAGAATGGGGGGGAATGAACCCCTAGAACCACGCTGGAGCTTTCTGCCAGAAAGCTGCAGCCCGGAGCCAACCTCACCAAGCTCACGGCGGTGGCTGAACGGAAGCGCAGCCGGGGGTCCCCAAAAAACACCCTTTGGGGCCGCCAGCCGAAGGAAAGGAACTCCCCAGGCCTCGTGGGTTGCCGTGTGGCCCCTTTTTCGGCAGGGGGCGAGTCCATAGCTTGGTTAGAAATAGATGGTTGTATGCCATTTAGGGCCATATTTTGCGGGTCACCTATGGGTGGGCTTTAAAGTCAACCAAAAAGAGAGATTGCAAATCTTGTTTCTAATGGAAATCCGCGGGTCTGGAACCCAATCGAATTTCGAAATTAGACAATCATTGCGATAGTCAAAAGACGTGCTTACTTTTGGGGGGGGTTGGAAGAGCCAGTCAACCATACGGCCTGAACCCTAGCATCTCCAGACCTAGCACGGATCTGTGCATTCTCAGCAGGTGTCCTGTTGGGCATGCGCTTTCGGGCTTGCACAAAACGAAGAACACACGGGATGTTGATCGCTTTCTTGCTGTTGCTCAGCAGGGAATGAGAAACGGAATGACCCCCATAAACCATCCAACTTGTGGTTTTCTTGAAGGGAATCCCCAGGTTCATTCCCTCCTTTCCTGAGCACCAGCCACCCAAAGCAGCGAGCCCAGGTGCCTGGCATACCCTGGGCCTGGAAATGTACTCGAAGGCGGGGGCGGCTGCACCTTGGACGCCTGAGTTGGGAGTCAAGGTCTGCTTATGGGACCTTGGGCTCGCATTTCGGTGTCCCACAACCAGAAAACATGCAAATTCAATCTTCCCATGTCCAATGCGAGGAAGTAGACATGCCTGACGGATGTAAGGTGCCATGGGGAAAATGTCGCAACAAATCGGCCTCCGTTAAGTGCCGTTGGACGTTCGGAATCCTTGGTGGGTCTTCGTTGACACCACTCGGTGGTCTCCAAAAAGCAGATCTGACTACTTTGCATCCAACCACAAGGAGGTGGTGCTTTGACAGAATCCGCGCAAGACCACACCAGCCAGCCAGCAGATGCCACTTATGCCCCGTTGAATGCATTCACCTGGGTGCTAAACGGCAGCCGTGCGTTTGATGTTCCAAAAAGAAGGAACCAGAAAGGGGGGGTAAGTGTTCAATTCGTTCCAGACCTGGGCCCCCCACCCCCCGCCCCCGGGCCCAACCCCCCCAGATTCGCTCTGCCCAGTTTGTCAGGACAGGGTGGCCATCGTCATCATGTCCGGCGGCAAAGATTCCCGCATCGGAGTGCCGGGGGCACGTCTTGACTCGACGGGATACGATCGGCCGGATCGGGCCACAGTCGTGAGTCATGCGGGTCCCCTCAAATGGGTGCTTTATCCACGCAGGTGGTGGTTTCTGTTGCGGTGGCGTCCCACAGATCAGGAATTCAAAAAGATAGGACAACTTGCAGATGCTGGTGGTTTCCATTGTGGTGTCCCTCTATAGCTTGACATTCGGGATGTGTGACCTGATTTAAGCATGCTTAAACACACGTGGCCCAACTCTGCTATCAAGGCTGGCAATGTGACTGCGAGCTCGAGGAGTGAAGATCCTGTGATTTGCGCGACCAACCAATTCTCCGACAATCGAATTTGCCAGAATACCCTGACAAGTTGAGATTTCGCGGTGGAACGAGATGGTGCACCCCCCCCCCAAATTAACGAGACCAGACTTGGATAGTGTTTCAGAAAACCATGCGAAACGAGGAAAAAAGAAAAAGAACAAAAAACAAGATCAGGTCTTGGCCACTTCTTTGCGTCCGACAAACTGTGGTTTCTGAGCTGGAACCGCCAAATCGCGCTTCACGTACTCATTTGAACTGGCTCTGCCAAAACGAGCATCGCAAATTCACTTGCGCTTAGAAGTTGCGCTTTCGAAGCGCACTTCGTGTTGACTTCGTGTACTACACTTGTACGGAAAAGTTGTGCTATTTGAGCTGGAGCTGCCGAGGTGCATTTTGCGCACTGCACCGGTACTGAACAGTTGTGCTTGTTGAGCTGGAGCCGCCAAAGTGTGCTTGGCACACTACACTTGCACCGAAAACGCGCGACTTGCGAGCTTGAATGCGTAGAACACACAAAGCGCTGTGGAACGAGACGCTTCCCCCTTGATTTGCTTCAATTTTGCTGCGAAGCGAGCCTAAGCGAGTCCAAAACAAGATCAAGCCAAGTTTGGCATTGCGGAAGACCAGAGAATTAGTCAGCTGCTGATTTGGCATTATGTTCAAGTATTTGCATCATGACATTTGATCGGTTCCATGTCACGATTCGCACTCGGACAGACTACTCGATGGTTCGACGTATCCGCGAATGTTAAGAGCGGAGGGAGACAGAGCAACGTTCCGCGCCAGGGCGACGTTCCCAAAGGTGTTCTGGACGTCGGTCTCTTGCCGAAAGCCTCAGAAGCCTAACTGTGGCAACGGGCGGGAAGCAAAATTGTGTGAAGTTTGATGGAAAGCTTACCGAGGGGGTAAATCGAGCTGACCAGAAACAAGGTCCGCTACTTGGGGATTCTTTCCAGGGTTCGGACTTATTGCAAGATTTGCAGATGACTCAGATTGGAGCAGAGTCTCCGTCTTCATGAAACCCACCGCCTGCACACCCCAGAGAGCACTGCAAGCCACTCGGCTTGCATGCCATCCAAAGAAGGCAAGTGGCAAACATATGGCGCATGGGCCTGATATGTTTCACATGGCCGTCCACCACATGCGCCCTGTTTTTCCCACCAATGTGATCCCGTGCCTGAGGTCTCACAAATCGATTTTCCAGCTCTATGTCGAGCGGGTGCGCAGGCGAGGGGGATTGTTCGATTCTGCTTACGCTCCGGGCTTCTGGTGTCCGATAGTTTTATGCCAGCGGCATTTTTTTGGGAACTGGGCTTGAGCTCGATGCATAAGAGGAAATGAAACATATTTTCCTTCTATCAGTCTGCGTTGATTTCGCATTCAAGTACCCTACAACCCCAACCTATTTGTTTAGACCCTTGTTGTAGTCCAGCCGTTGGTTGAGCTAGGCGTTCAGTGCTTCTGATCACGTGTGTAGCCAGGGGAACCATCCACGGGAAATCATCGAGGTTTGTTTGTGCAGGTTTGTTTGCCTGCATGTGACTGCTGGTTGTTGCCATTGCTGATTTTCAGGACTTGGATATCCAATGTGTCCATTTATGCTTCCCGACCCCGTACAAGTTTCAAGCCATAACGGCATTTGCCACGTACACAGGTGCAAGCATAGAGCCAGGACAGCCTGAGGTGAATCAGCTCTGCATTGAAGCCACCTTGTGGCTTTGGAATTGTTGTTATTTGGAGGGGCAACAAGAAGTCACTGCTCATGCAAGGTCTGGGTTAGAAGGATTTCTGTCGGGCTTAAAGTTTCAGTTGTCAGGGGAGCCGTTCAGCGCGTTCGAATAAATGTGTTCCGATCGCTTGCACCAAGGAGAATCATGTCGCAGCATCCGAAAGGAAGCCACTTATGATAACCCACGGAACACGTCACCCAAAGTTTGCTTTTGCAGAGACACTTCTTGGGCTTTTTGCTCCTTTGCCGGCTCTTACGCCAGAGATTTGGGTCTCGAACGGCCGTTGTCTGCTTTCTGGGCTCGGACAGTCGGGGACTTCCCGTCGCTGGTTCCGCGCTGCACCCGTCGATGGCGAGGCTGCAGCACTTGGTGCAGCGGAAGTTCAAAAAGGTGGCCGCAGCCCCTGGCTCCCCATGTGCTCACGGAGGGAAACTCATCGAGTCTCAAGCTCCCTCTGGTTTTGCGAACTGTTCAGAGCTTGGCAACCATAGAGTATTTGGCTAGTTGGCTTTTCTTTCTGTCTTTTCTGTTTATATTGGGCGGGGTGGGTGGGTTGAGCTGCCAACAAGTCGACCAAGTGGCTGGGATGTCGGGAGCGAAGCCTGTTGGGGCCACGGGCCAGTCAACCGAGCAAGAAGACGTCGGTGTGTGTGTGTGTGTGTTTGTGTGTTTGTGTGTTGTCCCAGTTGTCCCGCTCAAATGTTCCACCAAAACTTGGTGGCCCACACAACATGTCAGCGAAAACAAGTGTGTGGAGGAGGATCTGTGTGCGACTACGAGGACTGCTCAAAAGGCTCAAGAGGCTTGATGCTTTAACGATTCCTATGTTGCAAACCGTGGATGGGGAAGTCCAAGAAAGCCAAGATGAGGATCTTGCAGTGCTATAAGGGCCTGTGTGATTAGAACGAGGTGGTGGGGCCCGTAGTGGGGGTACTTGTTCAGAACTGATTTGAGACGCGCTCATAGGAGCAACCTGTTCGTGCACTGAGGTCCGTTGTGCGGTACCATATTATAACTAATTTGAGAGATGATAATTAGGAGCAAACAGTTTGTGCACTGAGGTCCGTTGTCGGATACTTGACAAGTGATTTGAGTCATGATACTTGTACATGGGAGCAAGGAGTTAGTGGTTGTACAGCCCCTTGCAGATGAGACAGTTCCTCTGCGTGCCCGAGGAAATATTGCAAGGAACGGGCCACGTTCTTCCGAACTCGGATTGGGGGTGCCTTGTCCCAAGGTCTTCATTCCCTTGTACATAATGTGCAACCGCGACAACAAGGAGGTTTCGTGCTGGGAGAGTGGGCAATTGCAATATGGGTGTGTCTTTTTTGAAGGTTCCCCTGTTTGGGCGGGTTTTAAAGGGAAACCAAACGGAGAACCTCCGTTTTGTGGGTACCATCAAGAAGACAAATCCATATGGCTCGCGGCAAGGAGTCGTGAACAAATGGATCGGAAGGGGAAGTATGACATGCGATCATTCGCCTGGAAAGTCAGATTGAAGATCGCCATGCTTCATCTGCTTATTTTATGTCGCGACCTGGGGCTAGGATGAGCTCACCATGATGCAAATAGCTCCCTCCCTTGCAGGTTGTAGGAATTGTTGCAAAGTTTGCAGATGTGATTTGGGTATGGGTCAAAATCAAACCACCAGGATATGGACCGCAGATGTTAGTCCATGTTTCCATATTTACCAGGGCGCCATTTTGGGGATCCCCCAATTTTTGACAACCACAGCCATGTCTTGATTTGCTCCACACCTTCGTTTCCCGGGGTTTGGCTCATTGCGGAGTGGAGTGCAAGCCCAAAGAGTTCCAAAGACGGACTTCCGGAACACCGACGATCCGTGAGTCTGTGTGCTGTGGAAGAAAATTGCCAACTTCGGAGCGGCTGCGGGCCACTTTGTGGACCATTTGAGCAGCAACAGGTCCAGACTTTTCCTGGCGAATCCACGGAGAGTGTCGGGTTCCTTTGGTCGCCTTTTCCGGGGACCAACTTTCTTACCTTGTGACAATCTGTCGTTGTTTTCCCAAGGAGTTTCATCATCTAAGTGGGGTCAAAAGGGGATTGAAGTCCAGGGATCACACGGGCCAGGTGATTGAAGATTTCTTCCGGGAGAACGACTTCTTCGGCATCCGGGAGCAGGACCACAGCGGTTGTATGTCACTGGTGTTTTTTGGGTGATTTTTCCCCTTTTTCCTGGCGCTTGAACACTGTTCCCTACCTGGAGGACCTGCTTTCTTTAAAAGATCCAGGTCTAAAATATTTGAAACCATGGAATTCAAAACACTCCCGCGGCGGATTTTTGCAGCTGACCACTTTTTCGAATTCATGGCTTCGTGTTTCGCGCACGTCGCCCTTTAGGGAACGACACAAGGCTGCGCCGAGCGGAATGGGTGTGTTTTTGGTGGTTTTTTCTTGGGCGTGGTTCGCATCCTCAGACTCAAGGACAGCCTAGTTTAGAAATAGATGGCTCTGGTTTCAGTTGTGTTCTAATGATTTAGTTGAGCCATTTATTGTTCCAAAAGGCGACCTGTCAGACGAGCGCTCAAATCTGATTCCCCATGGCCAGTTTAGTAGGTGGTTCTACTGCCTGGCTTGACAAGGGTTATAGTCAGGCCTATATAAACCTTCATAACCATCTTTGTAGAACCGATGAAACGGGCGCTGCTCAGATGAGTTTGTCTTTTCCAGCAAGGACATCCTCTTCTTCACGCAAGGGGATTTTCCCATTTGCGACAAGCACGGGAAGTATCTCCTGACCGAAAAGCACAGGACCGGTGGGTGGGCCCAGCCACGGGACGAAGCACGTGAAAAAACTGTGTTGAGGCACCCTTTGTGAGGTTGGTTTAAGGGAAGCCAGAAGGAAAACCACAATTTTCGAGGTGCCCCCATATTTATTTTTGGCACATAATGCCCGTGTATTCTTTAAAGTGCTTGCAAAAGTGTTAACTGGTCAAATCAGCCGAAGGAACACGAATTGTCTTGGGAAATGGCATGACTTAAATTGAAGCTGAGGGTCCCCCCAATGAGGTTAGTTCCAATCTCATTCTGGGCGACAGCATTGCTGGTAGTCGGTTGACTACTTGAGTACCAATTCTCCGTCCAGGTTGCTCCAAAGAGGGATGACTATCTCCTACTACCAAGAGACCCTTTGTTGCAAGACTGTCTTGGGAAAGCCAGCGCATGGGGTAGAGGTCAAAAAACGCCTTTGCTTGGATTGGTACCTGAATAAAAATAGATAGCACAATTACCCATGGCTCTAGTCACACTCCTTACCGCTTACCCATGTTTTGGGAAAATTGTGCAATCTACTTTACTCCTGGCTGGGCATGAACCTTTACCAGGATGTCAGATTCCAAGGAATATGGGAAGGCAGGAGCATTCCCTACATTGGGAGCTTTGATGGTGGCATGCCCAAACCTGTGCGACCTTGTGGCCAGTTGCCCAAAGCGGGAGGTCTAGTTCCACATTCCCATGAAAGTGCAGTCAGAAGGATCCGCAGTTGCCAGTATTCTTTCAGCTGTCCGGTGAAGTGTGAGGATTGCCATGAACCCCAGCGGCAACGGTGGTGTCTTCAAGTCCCTGGTGGAAGAGGGCATGGCACGGGGGCCAAGAGGCGTTGTTTGCCGGTGGCAAATCGGGTTACCGCGGCTCGAAGGCTTGGCAGGTGGCGACAATTTGGAAGCAAGAATAGGGGGAAGGCCTTCGGGGTTTCCAAACCAACCTGAAAAGGGTATCTCGGTATCCTTAACAGAAACACGGACCTACTCATATCGTTTGCTTCTCGCTCGTTCGGAGCCAGTGCGTCTCCATCTAGGATCATCCAACGCAGGGTTTGTCACGTACCGTCCAGGCATCTCACTAGCTTTCGTGGCACTCCCATTGCTGGCTCTCGCAGTATATGGTCGCAATGGTACGTGGGGCCCAAAGGAACATTTGGCGTTGTCAAGCATAGGCCCATTTGCACCTCCCATGATCCAAAAGAAAGCAGACTCATGTTCATTTAATGACTTTGGATTGATTGGTCTGACTTTCTCATGGCTTGATCTCCAACGGGGAGAGACTAGAAACAAACGAACAGTTTGCTCAAGTAGCAAACCCGCATTCTGAAGGTCTGAGGGCTCTGTGCGTTTATGTGAATGGATTTTAGACACACCGCCCAAATGGTGCTTTTCCTGTTGCTTCTCTGTTAAACCACAAAAAAGATACCCTCAAAGGAGACATACCCATATGTACCAATTCCCTGTGCCGTTTCTGCCCGTGCCGCTTTTGGGGTCCCACAAAATTAGCCAGAAAAAGTTATCCTCCATTCCAGGGGACCGCTGTCCACTTGGCAGATAAGTTTACACCTACTAACCTGTGTTCACATATAAATATGTGTATATATATACATACATACATACATGTATATTGCACATTTGTGCAGCTGATGTACTTCACTGTTTCTATACATGTATAGACCTTCATTTTCCAGCCCCCCGCTAAATGACAGTGCTGTAAGACAACATCCACCACCAACATCAATATATATATATATATTTGATAGACTACTGGTTCAATAGACCAGGGGCACCCGCTCTAGGGTGTACTTGCTCGAGGAGCACACGTTTTCTCTATAGATATTTGACTTGCTTGATTGAACTGGGGTAAGTAGCCTGGCAAGCTCAGCGATCGGTGGTAAAACAAGCTTTGCTTGGGGATCCAGTTCTTTTTTCAGGCTTTAGCATTCTCACAAGATCGGCAGACTGATCGCTTGGGGTGCGGGAGGACTTGCTGTAAGCGTTCATCAACCTAGATTCATCCTGGATCTCTTTCAGGGTCTCTTGATGGGGCACCGCAGTGCCTTGAATGGGGGTGGGGGAGGAGACCAGAATGCAAAGTTTTTGGGCTTCGCTTGAGCTTTTGAAACTCGAACCTCATCCCCATCGGAAATCTGGGATGTTGTTTTTGTTTTAGGGCAGAGTACATATGAAACGGAATCAGAGCATGTGACTTTTTGTGTACCTTGGGGCTGGACCAAGAAACCGCTGCCAAAAGAAATCTAGTTGGCCAAGGAGGTTCAGGTGACCGAATTGTGATCCCCAATTTGAGCACCAAGTCAAAGGGCGAGGGGGGGAAGCTTATGCTTACATAAACTAAAAGTATCCATACCTACAGCATGCGTGCAATGCTGTATACACCTACACATACACATACACATAAATACGTGCATGCGTGCATGCATACACGCATGCACGCATGCATGAACAAAAAACATGCAACAATACAGTACACTAATGTGATGAGAGACAATGCAGTACAATGTAGTACAACACAATAGCATGCGACATATTGCAATACAAAACAATACAGTGCAAACACAACAATGCAACATATATCCTACATAACATAACACCCACACACATGTGCAAGGGGTAGACTGAAGTCGCATCGGCTTGTGTAAAGTCGCATCGATTGCGCGTGGCCAGTGGGGAAAGCAGCCCAGCTGGCAACCCGGTCACTGTGGAGTTGAGTCGCGTCGAAGCAGCGTGGCCGGGGGGGAAACGCACAGCAATAAATCAATTGCATACCGTTTGCTTGCTGCACGGCGCATACTGTGGCGTGGCCAATGTGATAGCACTTCCGCTGCTGGCGCTCGAGCTCCAAACGTGATCAGATAACTGGCGTGGCCGGAGGGGACCTCGCAAGCAAGCGGCCCAACTGCGTTGGAGCGGAGTCCCGCCGAATCAGCGTGGGTGGGTTCATGCGCAGCAAGACATCAACTGCGCGCGGTATGCTTGCATGCTGCACGGCGCATACTGTGGCGTGGCCAATGTGATTGCACTTCCGCTGCTGGCGCTCGAGCTCAAAACTTGGTGAGAAGGAACCGGCGTGGCCGGAGAGGACCCCGAAAGTAAGTGGCCCAACTGCGCGTGTTGGAGCGGAGTCCCGTCGAATCAGCGTGGGTGGGTTCATGCGCAGCAAGATAGGAAAGAAAGGCTAATCTCTGGTCATAACATATGTCTTCGGCGATTTCACGTTGCTTGTTTTGCATTTGTTTCTTAGGAACGATATAGCGAAACCCAAAAGCGATAACGTTGCGTGACATGCAACTGGCGCTTCGCGCTTCTATTTTGCTCTGTGTCAGCCTTTTTTGTCCCAAGCTGTAAGTTGCCATGACAGCTCCTGTCAATGCTCCTCGGCAATGCATGGTGCACCATGGGCACATGCGTGCACGAGATGGGCCCACCCATGCAGATGGATCGCTATGCGCAAGGCCTGACACGACACGCGCGCACGCACGAACGCACGCACACAAGCGCACCCGCGCACGCGCACGGGCACCGGGGCGCGCTGCGATCTTCGAGCTGGAGCTGCCAAAGTGTAACTTGCGCACTGCGCTTGTACTGAAAGTTGCGACTTGCGACCTGGAAGTTGCAGCCAGCAAGCAAAGCCGCCAATGCTTGGGAGCCAGAGAAGCATAATCCTTTTGTCCGCTGATCACATGACTACCGCAAGGCAGAGAAGGCTCTTAGACACGTAGACAGGGTTAAGAGTTAAGGGTTTTGCGTGTGTTTGTTTCCCCAAGAACAAGAAGAAGAGCGCGCGGAAGCGCCCGGGTCGCTCGCCGACAGGCGGCGGGAGACCGGAAGAGGAGCGCGCGCGCGCAAAGAAAGCGCTAGCAAGCGAAACAATCCCGCAAATGGAGCCCGCGCCAGGCGACGACAATGGAACCGCCGGAGCCCCGGCCAGGCCTCGGAGTTCGAGCCCTTATCGGGAACTTTTTGGGAGGCCCTCAGCCCGTTTTTGGTGGAGACCGCAGGCTTTGCTTTTCGTTTTTCCTCGAAAGCCAATTAGGAAGCAAACAGCCGAGCGCGCAGACGCGCCCGAGCCAGTTGCCGACAGAGGCGGCGGGAGACAAAGAAAGACGCACATATTTTTTTGAAACAGAGCCGCGAAAGACCGCGGGAGGACTAGAGGATGCCGCTTTCTGGCCGCTTGTTTGTTTGTTGTTTCCGAGAAACCCCCCGTCAGGAGCAACTGGAGCAAGACATAGAGGCTCTGCTCCGCGTGGAGGAGCTGCAGGCGGCGGCAGACGCCGCCGCCGAGCTACCTCTATACGAGAGGCTGCCCGCCATCGAGGCTTTGCCTCTGAGGCCGCGTCGGTCCAACGCGCGCCTTCTGTCAGGTGCGGGAGGCCGAGCCGGAGTGCGCGCTCCGGCCGAGGCCCTGTTTCCCAAGAGGCGCGCGAACTGGAAAAGGAAGGCGGCGGAGGCGACGCCAAGTCGGGCGCCCAACGGGTCTCCGGCCGCGGTTGTTCGCCTTCCTTGCGCGAGGCAACCGCGAGCCACGCGGCTGGCGTGGGGCGCGGTGGAAGCTGAGCGCGCTGTGCCTTGGCGGCGGCGCAGCCAAACTTTGACCGCGCGCCCGCGCTGGCTAGGGGCTTGTCCAAGCTAACTTCCTCGGCTTGAACTTTTAGGCGAAATCCGAGCGGAGAGCTTGGAGCCCACCTTCCTTGCCCTCCTGGCCGCGGCCTTGGCAATCTGTTTCGTGCCTCCTTGTCTCCCTTAGCTCGAGGCCGACAGCCTCCACTGCACGCCCGCGGCCTTGGAGCCGTTTCGGGAGGCCGTCGTAGATCTGGCACGCAGAGCGCCACACCGCGCTCCACCCAGAGAAGGAGGTTTCGGCCCAACCCTCTCCCCCAACTCTTCTTGGGCCGCAGGACGGCGAGACGCCAATTAAGAGCGGCAGCGACGAATCGCTGCCGTGAAGAAGAAGGCCAAAGAAGACTCGAGAACAGATATAGAAGAACATAAGAAAGGTTTGAAGGCTCTCGAGGCATGCGCCCCGCTGCTCCCGCCCGGGTCTCGGCCCGACCGGCCAGGCGCGGCGAGCGCGTAAGAAGAAGAAAATAAGGCTCACTACGCGGGCCGAACTCAAGAAGGCGGCTTGCTGGGAGAGAAGGCGCAGCCTCTTCGAGGCCGCGCCGGCTGAATGTGGTGAGCCCTCGCTGAGCTTCGAGAAAAGAGCAACGCCTGCGCTCGGAGAGAGGCTCGGGTCGCGGCAAGACTGCCGCCGACGTCCGCCAGGCGTGTGTCTCGGCGGAAGAAGAGTTCCGCCGCCTGCACGGCCGTAAGCCAGACACGAGGGAGTTGGGGAAGGCCGTTGGCGAGGCCCCGCCTCCCCGCGTGAACTGGCGGGGGGCGCTCGGGGCTCAGGACCTTTTTCGTTTTTTCTTGCTCCCCCACGCCCCCGCAGGAAGAGCTGGGCCTCGAGTACGCCACGGCGCTCGCCCAGGCCTTGGAGGCCAGGCCAAAAGCAAGAAGAACTTGGCCGCCCCCGCGCACGCGCGCAGCAAGACGCGGAGAAAGAGTTCGAGGCCGCCCTTGCGCGGAGCCGGTCCGGGGGACCGGAAGAAGACGGTGACCCGGACGCGGCGCCGAGCACTGGGTAAGACGCAGAGCAAGTCGGCCGCATGAAAGAAAAGAGTTTCCGTTTCCCCTCCCGTGGGTGAGTGGGAGGGCGCACGCACGCACGCACACACACCCACACAGCACACCTGCACACGCGCGCGCAAACACAGGCGCGCATACCCACACCCACTCACGCACCCATACTGATGCCCCCACACGCGCGCGCGCAGACACAGACATACACGCGCTCAAATACGCAGACGCACGCACACGCAGGCACGCACGCACGCACGCACGCACGCACCCGCACACACACACACACACACACACACACACACACCCACACCCACACCCACACGCACACGCACACGCACACGCACACGCACACGCACACACACGCACACACGCCCACACGCCCACACGCACACACGCACACACGCACACACGCACACACGCACACACGCACACACGCACACACGCACACACGCACACACGCACACACACCACACACACCCACACACACACACACACACACACACACACACACACACACACACGCACACACACACACACACCCACGCGCACACACGCACACGCACACGCCCACGCACACGCACACGCACACGCGCGCGCTCGCCCATGCCCACGCCCACGCCCACGCACACGCGCACGCGCACGCCTACGCGCACGCGCGCGCGCACGCGCACGCGCACGCACACGCACCCGCACACGCACACGCACACGCGCACGCACACACACACACAGGCACAGGCACAGGCACAAAGTTATCAGTTGTTCGCTGGATGTTAGCTGAACCACCCTGCTTTTGCCTAGGCGTCGGACGCAAAGGGCTAGTTATGCGCCAGAGCGCGGCGTTCACTGTGGAATCGCGTCGCCAACGTGATTGCCATGAAGCCGTGATGCATGATGGGACTTCACGCGCGCTGATGTGGACTTCACGCGCGCTGGTGTGACTTAACACGACCGCGCAAGACAAGGCAACATAACATATCACAACAGAAAACATAACATGACATATCAGACAACACCTTACCTTGACATAACAAAGCAAAAAATCAAATAACCTAACGTAACATAACCTACCGTAGCACACAGCGTAACCTAGCACACGAGAGCAGAACCCAACCAACACCGCATACCATGCTCTAACATAGCGCGACATACGTGCAGAAGCGTGCGTGTACACAGTATACACACATACGCAAGTTCAGGCGCACATGCATACTTATACACGTGCATAGGTACATACATGCGTGAGTACGCACAAATACAGATACATGCATGCGTACCGTACGTACGTATGTACGTACATACATACATGTCCGCATGGATGCGTACATACATGCAGACATCCATGCAATGTACGCCCATACACACATACGCGCATGCACACATTCTGACATACTCAAATACAGACATACCGGCATACACACATCAATACAGACACACACACACACGTACACACGTACTCCCATGCACGTACATCCACACACGCACCACGCCATGCCATGCCAGGCGACGCCGTACAACACCATACATATTTTCTACATTTGTTTTGCACTTCACCACGGTTATATCCCTGATTTCCGTCAGATGTCGCCTTGAGGTCTCGGACATGAAGAGCCGAGGGGTCACTTGCCTCTTTGCGGGAAGCCCGGCTGGGTGACCGCAACCTGAGTGTCAGGAGCAGGAAAGTCATCTGAAAGTGGCCCCAAAAAGAGGTGATGCTTAAGCGGGCTGAGAGCAGGACATATAGGGACCCCCTGTTTTTTTGGTTTTCCACCACCTTCAGGAAACTCGGGGAACACACGTACATAGAGCGTTGTATATCCCATTACACCCCTGCAACCCAGTGGTTTGGGGGTTGGACCTGGGTCCCAACGCCCATTTTGTAAACGGGTGGCAGGCGGTTGGCGATTTATACTATTTAACTTTGTTCGGTCAGTTGCTTTCTTTTACATACTCGTTTTCTCTTCCTCACACTGGAATCACTCGGATGCCTGTTGCTAGCCAACACCCAGAGCTAAAGCCAAAGCAAAGCCCGTTGTTTAAAAGGACACCAAAGCCGCTTTGAGGGTTCCTCCCTATTTCGAGACACACCCAAATGGTTTAGCTTACGTTGTGGCCCCTCGCTGGACTCTCAGGATCTTTGATCGGGAACCATGTCAGATCAATCGCTAAGGCTTCTGCGCGTTGTTGGGGCAAGGAGAGCCACCATCTTGGGGTCCAGCACACGACAGACCCGTCCCCTGATATCATGTTTCACATTGAGATTTCCAGATGTTAGACTGCTGCGTGTGACAGCTACAGCAACTAGCACCTGGCATCCATTTGGGGGATCCAAAGGAGGTTGTTAAAACAACTGGTCTTCCGGCCTTAAACATGTCTCAACACCAGGATATGGTTTAATCAACAGGTCTCCACCGTCTTCCACTCTTCCACATGTTCCAACAGGGGGGACCATCCCTGCCTTGCAAGTGGTGACTTGCAAGCAGGGTTCCAATGTTATGACTACCCAGGTAGACTCAAGCCTAGGGGCTTCCCAAGAGGGAAATCGACCATCGGGTTTAGGCCTGGGGTCCAAAAATGCAAGCCATCGACAAATACCTTATTTGCTGCAGTCATGGCGGACCCCAGCACAGGTCAATCTGACTGCGAGCCGAGGCTTGCAGCATCGACAACGTCTTGGCCAAGGCAAGCACCGTTTGCAGTTGGCTGCATCTGGCCATGGGATGAAAGGAGCAGGGGTTGATCTGTTTTTATTGTGAAATGTAGATGGCCCAACTTCCTTGTGGGTAAAGGGGATGACAAAACTAAGGGGAAATGGTGCCATCGTTGGCACCAACCAGGAGAATGAGGCTCGGATCTATGTAAGATTTGGAACTTGGATGCTAACCTGCAAGGGAGGATGCTCAGTTGGGGATATTTGTTCAGCGTACCTTCTTTTGGTTGGTTTCAGAGGGAAACCAAAAGGAAAGCCACCATTTTGCAGGTTCACCTATTTCAGCCACACTCAGTTGTCACTGCTTGTGGGAAGACATGGGAAGACTTTGTGGAGGATTTGTTTTGGGGAGGTGAAACAACCTTGCCTGTGATGACGGGCTCTTGTTCGGGGATCACTTATGAAATTGCTGATGCTTGTAGTCAGGCCAGCTGAATCGCAGTGTGATTCTCCGGCATTTGGGACAGGGACCTGGATGGTTCAAATGACTGAGAAGATATCAGCTTGGCCGCCGTGCTTGCTGCCTCGCACTACTTTCCGAAACCGCATAGAATCTGGGTGAATTATAACGACCTCACACGACCTCACCCCAAGTGGTGGTTCTGTGGGGAAGAATTAGCCCCAACATACTATAATTCACCCAGATCGAATGATCTTTTGCCACGACATGTATCATCGACGTGCAAGTAAGAGACAGGTTCTTGTTGCCCCTACTGTGAAACTGAATACTCGATATCGCCAGGTGGGCGATCCTGTCTTCCTGGGCTTCTGCGAAACATGCAAGGCGCGGAGTGCAGGCAGATTTGTGGGATGTGTAATGCATGTTGTCCGCTGGCTTGTGGGTATGTGTCAGAATAGGGGGACCCCTCAACTGAGTGGTTTTTGTTTGGTGTCTCTTTGAACCAACTGCAAAAGAGTACCCTTTACAACACGCTGTCTGGGAATCTGCAAAGTTTGATGCTGACTTGCTGCGACTGCTTGATCACTGTCACACACACACACACAACTGACAGTTATATGTGACTTCAAACGGAATGTGTATAATCTCTAGGCTTGCTGGTACACCTAGGTGCGATCAAGCCGGCTCTTGAGAATGGAACTAGGTCTCCTTTTAGGTCAGTCTGGTTGAACAATGGCACGGGTGTTACGTTGGTTTTAATCATTTACCGTGCCATCTATGTTTCCAAAGAACATCTAATGATGTAAGCTTGGAGCGCCAAATCTCAAGAAGGGGTGCTCTGAGCCTTTTAAAAAGATGACCGGAAAGCAAGGGTTAGTTTCGCTTTGCCAGTGTTCAACTACCTTGTGACGGCTCCACACGGAGCAACCTTGCTGTTGTCATCCAGGGTCGCCTCAAGTGAGGCACGTCGATGCAGAGGAAGAGAAAATTGGTAGGTGGCTTATCCTAGTCATCATAGTGTTTCATTCATCCCAGCCGGTGCCAATCGGCGCGGACTGTGTCCACAGTACTAGTGCTAGTCTGACTGGACCCAGGGTACCCAAGGGGAAGCAACACATTTTGTCTTTCAACGCATTTGTGGGCGTGGTCCGCAGGTGTTTGAGTGACTGTTATGTACAAGCACCGGCAACCAATATGAAGATATCCAATGTATTGTTGGGCAGCGTGCAGGTGTCAGGTTTTTTCTCAGCTGACCCTACTCTTTCTCAGCGCGCCTAGCGCCTGCTGTAAGTACTTCAGAAGGAATAGGCAAGCCACAATCCCAGTCTTTCGATGACAAATGAGATGACACACACAGACTTGTTCATTGATATGAGGTATTTACTTTCACAGCATCGCAGATCGCACCTGACCGTGTCATGCACTGAATGCTGGTAGAGGGTCGTGACACTACTTGTTGCAGAATCGGCCGAATTGACATGTTTCGGCCCAGCAGTCAACATCGACAGCTCGCTTCGGCATGTTTTACATAATTATTAGAGTCTCACTGCAAAGTTTTCCTGAAGGAGTTGGGGGAGGGTGCTTGGGGTTGCTCCGAACCTCAAAATGACCCTGCGCAGGGTCGATTGGTTTTCGGGAACTCCGTTGATTTGAGGGACCAAATGTTTAATATAGAGGGGAAAACATGGCATACCTGACTCTTCTATGATCATGTACCCTCATACCCCATGCTAAGTAAGCATTCAGGCCCTTATTGTATCACTGGAAATTATGAGACCTCCGGTGTTTTCCAGAGTCTAGTCCCGGACACCTACTCGTGCTTTTTGTTCAGCGTATTTTGGCGGGGGGGTTGCTTTATCCCGGCGCCCAGTTTCCCATGGAAGTTCACTAGGGGTCTGGGTGGTTCTCAGGCGGATGCTGGCTTGAAGACCATGGAGAAGGTGCTGCCTGAAGAAGAGTCACTTGTCAACCGATTTGGCCGAAAGAGGGGCCTCTATATATGTATACGCATATGTGTGAATGTCGTGTGTGTGCGTGTCTCTGTGTGTGTGTGTCTGTTTGTGTGCGTACCCCGCTGTTTGAGGGGACTCCTTGTTAAGGTTTCGTTCAACAGGGAATCAAACGAAAATCCACCATTTTTAGGGCTGACAGGTTGTAGGGGAAGTAAGTGTTCCTTCTAAACAAGATCCTTATGATGGGGTGATATTCCAAGGGGTTATCTGAGGAACCCTGTGAACATGCTGGGTTTCATTTGGTCGACGTTCCTCGCATGTTTCTTCTTGCAGTTCCCATTTCGGCATTTGGAGGGCTGGCCCTGGCCATGGCTTGGGTTTTGAGTTGGCTTGGCTCGGCGTGGATATTGGGCGGTGGATTCCGAATGGGCATTCTGGCGGTTGAGTGTTTGTGCTGATCGGCTTCCAGTTGAGTTCATGCAAGAACGAGGTCAATGCAGATAGTGCTCCCTAGCACAGTTTGACCTCTGGTTGATGCCGCCCTCCAGGTTTTCATGAAAGGCGTCCCTTCTAGTACTAGGATTTATCTTTTCGTGGAACCCTTTTGAAGACATGTCATCATTGTGGGAAATTTAGCTTTTAGGTTCACTTTCTGCGACAACAAGCCCCCCCCTTGAACGTGATACAGTAGTCATTGTCCCACTGTGGTATTGCCCCCATATGTTTGGGTCATGCCTGTATTGTTTAGGGGTGGAGACTCCAGGTAATTCCAATTCTCATTGGGGAGGAAACCAGTTAGGCTTGTTTTTTCCTCTTGTGGCTTGCTTGACGCGTTAGTGGGGGGTGCCCCGTTTTAAAGACAAACCTTCACTTAAATCCGCCAGGCTCCTTCCGGGTTCAACATATATCAGTCACCGTTTCTTCTATATGTTTGTCTACCTCTTGTGGTTTGCTAGATGTTTCCCTTCAACCTGTTGCACAAGGTATGGAATCTTCTGTTCTCAGCTTCATCGGGACATCTTCGAAGACGTGGATGGTGACGGCAAGTTGGACGCAGTTTCCAAGGTCAAGGCTGGAGTGCCCAGATTCGTGCCCTATGCACCAACTGACATGAGAAGCGCCCAGATTTGCTCGCATGGTTTAACTAGAATTAGAATCAGGCCTAATTATATGAGCTGGCTTCGAATTTAGCGTCATGTACTTCATGTGAGAACATGTCATCAGGTGTAGAGTCTTCAGGAAAAAAATGTTGGTGGCAAGCAAAAGTTTGAATTTGTGTTTTGCCAATCCACTCAGGAAGTGAGCCGAGTACCGTCCGACCGACTTACATGCAATGGAAGTGCACAGAACCCTAGAGGAAAGTCGACTTCCAAAAGGCCTGTGCACTTCCATGTATGAGGGTCGTGTTTACCGGTGTGTTCCAGTCGGTTTCTTGTGCAAGCAGACCCTGGCTTTCCCCTTCCGGAAATGTGGAGACAAGCAGGCACACTTGAGCCAAGACGCTGGCCATTGGGTGATAAACATGCGGTTTGATCGATTCCTCATTCCACTTGGTACTAAATGATGTTGGCCCTTCCGCAGATGTGCGGAAGGGAGCACGTCCGATAGCCGTCAAAGATTGCCATCCTCGTAAAGGTTTGAGCCAAAAGGCTCCCACAAGACATCTTGAACCAAATCAACTCTCGTGCTCTACGACCAGTCTTCCCTCAGGGCTGCTCTCTCAAAGACATGCTTGGAGGAAGAAATCTATCGAACATGGGCTTTCCCCAAATACTTTCACTGTTGAAGTCCGAGCCACGGTCAGCATTTGTGATTCCTTTCAAGGATATGAAACAATGTGTGACTTCACCTGCTTTTGGTGTGAATGTAGTGAGTCTCCTATTCCCTGTAGACAAAACTGGACATCTTGACGTCTTCAGATCTATCACATAATCACGGAAACACTGCGAACCTGAATACCAAGCATGTCCCACCAGATTCCCAGATGTTTTATACTCGAATTACATGTGTTGAAGTATGAGGGTACTGTGGATGGACAAAAAACAAAGCACCAGTATTCAAATCCGGTTTCATCCATGTGAACGGTTTTATATTGGCGCTGATCGGCGTGGAGTTGTCCATCCGCAGTTTCCACCAATCCCCCATTGTTTTGTCCCAAGCCTTTGCTCTCCAATGAATATCTACCGGCATCCCCACCACGCATCGAGAAAATCCGGGTCCCAATCCGGGAATCAATCGGCCAGGCTTTTGGTGGTTTATTAGCTATTATATAATCGGGCTTAACTGGTGAAGGTGTCTTGCTGGTCCTCAGCAGGGAATGAGGGAATGACCCAATATATGCCATCTCTTGTGGTTTCCTTTAAGGCGAATGCTGGGTTCATTCCCCACATTCCCTATTGAGCTCCAGCAAGTTTTGCAAGCATCCACAGTCCCTCCAAGTCTCACCCAGCCGAATCGAGCGGCCAAGCGAATTGAATCCAGCCGCCAGGCCAGCGTCCTGGAGTTCTTCGAGATGCCGGAAGACCTGAAGAAGCGCAGGAAGCAGGCGGGGAGCAAACCGAAAACCAACGAGTCGGGTAGACAGGAGGGGACTCTCCTCAAGAAATTATGTGTTTGTGTGTGTGTGTGTGTGTCGCAGGGGGACTCCCAAAATGGTGGATTCCCTTTGTGTATTCATAGGGCTTCATCCATTCCAACTGGTGCGCGAGTTTGTCCATCCACTGTAAGGCGGCAGCTACTTGGAAGTTTGAAGTATGTCGAAGGCAGCATCCTCTCCAAGTCTTGCCAAGAGTTTCATGGTAGCTTTCTTTCAGAATGGACCCAGCCAACTCTTAGGCAAGTGTTGACAGATGTCGGAAAAAAAGAAGAAGAACAAACGACCTCCAGTTTCTAGATTGGATGAGCGGGCAAGCATTTTTGCTTGCCTACCTAGCAGCTGGGTTCATATGCTTTCGGCTTTTTGCAGACTGTCCTGACCTTGGTGAAGTTCCAGAGTGTATTGAGTTGCCCGATTTCCGATGCAAGCAACCTGCTTTGTGCTTCCTGGCTTTGTTTTATGTCCAATGGCCTTACCCGCTTGGGGATCTGTGGGCAGCTTCTGCTAGGCAGAAAAAAAGGTTGGTACCCTTATTCTAAGCTCTCTACGGGAGGACCTAGTCTGTGAACCCAAGCCAAACCGACCGAAACTCGCAGGCGGGGTCCAGCGGCATGCCCTTGGAGCTGAACTCGGGGAACCTCTCGCAGTACTTCTTCAAGGCATCCGCCGAGCCCCCCGCTTCGCCGTTTGCTGGATATTGCTGGATTTGGTTTGTGGGTGCCTCGGTTCCTGCCTGGTTTCATGGGGGGTTTATCGTAAGGCCTATAAAAAAAGGAAAAAAAAAGGAAAAACATGTACCATGTTGGTAGCACCATCAGCGGGTTTGGTTCGCAGATGTGTCTCCCTTGTTCAACTGGGTGACAACAGGCGAAGTGTGAGTCTCAGAGGGGAACATGAGGGAACCGCAAGTGTGCTCGGTCTTCGGAGTTCTCTTTTTTCGGGGACCTGTTTGTGTTTTTCATCCCAAGCCTACTTTTTGACCCTCTAAGATCTTGCTTACTTGTTGGTTCTGGGGTCAAAAGAGATTGGGGGTCAGCTTTCGTTGGTTCCGTGGTTTCAAACATCACCTCTTGGCCGGGGTGATGCTCAAATAGAAAGATTGGGGATTCCTGCTTCTTCTCCAGCAGGGACCTCCCCGTGACCAAAGTACAGATGTCAGATGTTCAGTTCACCCTCTGAATCCCCTTTTGCTTCGTGGCTTCCAAAAGATGGTCTATGGGCTCTTAATCTGAGGGGAGAAGGAGCCAACGAAGAGGCTGGGATCAAAAAGGATGATCAAATCCTTCGGTCCCTTGGTCCTTTGGCTTTTGGTTTTTCTGTTTTGGAGTCAGCCTCAAGAAAATCGTCCACCCCAAGTCTGTTCGGGTCAACCTCAGGGTTGCGGATGTGGCCACGGGTCAAAATCCCGTACCCCAAGTGAACATCCCAATCCCCACCAAAATCGACTAAAATGGGCGGTGCACCTATCCCAAAATGGGATCCATTGGTTTTGAACCATGGCAATGTCCCTGGGGCTAAGTTGAACCAAAACCCACCGAGAGGTGGACTTTGTCAAGAAGGTGGCGCAGATCAGCAGCGGCAAGCACCACATCATCCCCAAGGCAGGGTCACCTGATCAGCTCACGGCTCACGGCTTGGAGCCAGGGCTCCTCCCGCCTCACTTGAGGGGCGAAATTCTTGACAACCATCACCTTTTGGGCCACTTTTACATTAGTTCTCTCTTGGTTGGTAAAGGGGCAGTGCAAGGAGCCTTAGCGTTTGGCGAGTTGCTCGCCTTCCGGGGTTGTGTTTGGAGTTGGTACCCTGGCTAGCGGTTGTTTTTGAAGGGAA